GCATTGGCTTGTGAAGAAAAACATTCGCTGTGTAATGATCAGGAATGTGTTGCCTACAATCGTAAACTGTTAGAATGGGCTTCCAGTGTGCAAATTGGTTGTTGCATTTCCTGTTTAGAGCCTCTGCTGTGCAATTCCTCAAGTGATCGATGAGAACGGGCCTGCCAGGGATAAGTATTATCCATGGAAGAGGAAAAAAATTCTCCTCAAGACTTTCAGACTTAGAAAAAGGGAAATCAGAAACAAGATTTAAGGAGAAGAAGTTGCAGGTTTAGGAGTACAATAGCAAAAGAAACAGACAAATTGGACAGTTCTGTCAAAGATTTGACACAGGAGTGATGGCCTCCTTTCTTGTGTTGGTTGTCATGGTAGTCGTAAAATATGGCTATCTTTTTACAACATCGGATATTAATTCCTGAGACCTTCCTGGACTAAAATGGTTTATAAAAAGTAAGAAAAATGGACCTGATCGTATCTGCAGTAATCACCTGATAAAACTTTCTGAATTGAAGTTACCAATCACCAGAGTCAGGTGTCAAGAAATTTGCAACTCCTCTTGTTTTGATTTTCCTTGTATCATAGATTACACTGGTGGATATGAAAGGATTGCCTGAAACTGTCAAGCTTAGAAAGAAAATGTAGTACGACTCTAGAACACACAAATGAAGCAAATTTCAGTCACTGTTTTGCAGAGTAAAAGAAAGAAAATGGATTGATGATAGCAAGGACCAGAAGAATCTCTTGCTGTTCCCTTCTAGTCACCTTGAAAGCCAGTACAGGTATTAAAACAAGTTGAAGAAACATCCATTCATCAATAACTTAAAAAGTTGACACATGTCTTGTATCCTCAGGAACAGTGAAATCACCTGAACAGTCATCAGGTCTGGCAGCATCTGTGAAGGAGAAAACTGAGTTAATGTTTCGGGTCCGCTGACTCTTCCTCAGAACTGATGGTGGCTGGGAAAACGTCAGTTTATATGCAGAAAATACTGACCTCAAAAACTGATGTTTTCCCAGCCACCACCAGTTCTGTGGAAGTGTCACTGGACCCGAAAAGTTAACTCTGTTTTCTCCTTCACAGATGCTGCCAGACCTGCTGAGCTTTTCCAGCAACTTTGTTTTTGTTCCTGATTTACAGCATCCACAATTCTTTTGGTTTTTACCTGAACAGTCATGTTCTCCGGTTTAACTATAACAACACAAAATCACAAATGCTAATGTGGTCTACTGCATCCGCTGCTCCTGATGTGGCCTCCTACGTCGGTGAGACCAAGCGGAGGCTTGGAGACCGCTTTGTAGAGCACCTGCGCTCGGTTCGCAACAAACGACAACACCTTCCAGTTGCGAACCACTTCAACTCCCCATCTCAACTCCCTGGACAACATATCCATCTTGGGCCTCTTCCAGTGTCACAACGACGCCACCCAGAAACTGGAATAGCAGCTCCTCATATTCTGCCGTGGGAGCCTACAGCCCAATGGTCTCAAAGTGAACTTTACCAGTTTCAAAATCTCCCCACCCCAGCCTCATCCCATCACCAACCCTCCCTCTCATCCCCGCCTCCTTGCCCTATCTGTCTTCTCTCCCACCTATCTGCTCCTCCCACTCACTGACCAATCCCCACCACTGCATACCTGCACTCATCTTTCGCCATCCCACCTACCTTCCCCAGCCCCACCCCTCCTCTCTCCAGTTATTTCAGAGCCCCCTTCCCCATTTCTGAAGAAGGGTCCTGACCTGAAACGTCAGCTTTCCTGCTCCTCTGATGCTGCCTGGCCTGCTGTGTTCCTCCAGCTCCACGCTGTGTTATCTCAGACTCCAGCATCAGCAGTTCTTACTATCACAAAATCTCTAAAGAACTTTTTAAACTGCATCAGAGATGGTAAGAACTACCGATGCTGGAGTCTGAGATAAGGCACTCCCCTTTTTAACTTTTAATCTTGTGCTTTGTGTTCATGTCAGATGCTGTGTTTTCTTATTTTTCTTGGGGTTTGTAAGAAATAAAAACCTTTCTTTCATTCGAAAGCCTTGTAATTAGTTCTTTAATTCAGATCTAGTGTCTGTGTTTTAATTGAACCATGGTTTCACTGTGCGCTCAAAACATTTAAAATCTTTGTTGCAGCCAGCCAAGGGGATTAAAAATGGGGGAGTTCACTTTGCAGCCCCCACAAACTTCTAAAGTAGGACAGATCCTTGGTTGCATATTTCTATTTTCAATTCTGTGCTTCTCTCAAACAACAGCAAAACAGAATGATTGAATGGAAGTTAGCCAGCAAATTTTATTTTGTTAACCTGATTTAATTTTGTTGTTGCATGTGGTTGGAACTGAGGAAATGAAGGTGCTGCTACTGCTAAGCTTGTAAGTGCTTTTGTGACAAGCTGTTTTTTTTGAGTTCTGTGTGAGAATTACAACCAATGAAAGCTATTTGTGTCATTGCTGGTTAATGACATGCAGACACTTCCCTTGCAGATGCTGGAAATGATCTATAGTAACCTTGTTGCAGATAAAACTTTAATTGAGGTAATCGGCTCATGTATATTGAGCATTGCAGTAAAGCTTAGGGAGAGTGGAATTGGAATTATGCAGGATCAATGAATTGAATAAAGGTGTTAATGATGATGGACAACCATTAGTTTATCAGTTAGGTCTTAACTGAGGTAGCATGAAGTGTTTGTGATGTAGCTCTGCCACAAGGACTCCATAAGACCATAAGAAATTGGAACACGGAATAGGCTGTTTGGCTCCTCGAGTCTACTCCTCCATTCAATAGGATCATGGCTGATCTGACAATGCTTACGTCCATTTTCCTGCCCTTTCCCCGACTGATTAAGAATCTACTTTTCTCAGCCTTAAATATACGCAAGAACTCTGCCCCCACAGCTCTCTGAATTGGAACTCTCATAAGTCTCTGTTGAGTTCCAGAGAGACTCAACCCTTTGAAAGAAGAAATTCCTCCTCACCTCAATCTTGAATTGGCACCCCTTTATTCTGAAGCTATAACCACTGGTCCTAGACTCTCCCATAAGGGAAATATCATCTGCGCCATTATCCTGTCAGCTCCTTAAGAATTCTATGTTTCAATGAGATCACCTCTCTTTCTTCTGAACTCCAGTGAGTAAACCTGCTTAACCTTTGCTCATCAGGCAATCTCTCCATACTAGGAATCGTCCCAGTGAACCTTCTCTGAACTGCCTTTCGTGTTGAGAAACATGAGTTTGAAGTTCTTTTTACACAGAATATTTAGTCTTGATGATGAAGATGGTTTTCCATATGCGTCAAATAAAAATGGCTGTGTAATTCAGTGTATAGAAAAGCTGTAAAGAATGAGATGCTTTTAGGAGAGCGCCTATCATGATCTTGCAAAGGATTGCAAATGCAAACCCAGCCTTGCATTACCAGCTTCCTTGAGACACTGTGCAGATCTTTTATTGTGAGTGTATGCCATAAAGTTGATGCTGCAAGCTGACCACAGAAGATTGTCTTTAGTGTGCCACCATTTTAAAAAAAAACACATAGCAGTAACTGTGTCAGCCTTAAGGCAACCTTCCCAAATCCTCCTCACTGCATTGACTGAGAGATATTTTGCCAGAATCAATGCAGAGCCTGGTCTCCACTACATAGAAAATAAACATTTTAGATTTTTCACTGCATGTCTTGACTATTGTTTAAATTCGTAACCATCTAGGTGAAAAACAAAATGCTACTTTGAGCTTCCAGTTTCAGCATCAATCATTCCTTATCCAAAGTGGGCTTGTATAAAATTCCAATATAACCAAAGAACTGCGAGTGGTAGAAATCCGAAACAGAAAGAGAAATTACTGGGAAAACTCAGCCTGTCTGGGAACATCTGTGGAGATAAAGCAGAGTTAACTTTTTGAGTCCAGTGACCCTTCTTCAGGACACTAGTAGCTAACAAAGGGTTGTTTCACAGTAAAGTTGTCTCCACTTAGTGCAACACATTGTTGAGAAGAGAGGAGCCAGAGTGATAATCTAATAATGGTCTTTAAAATGGCAAAGCCATTCAATGGAATAGCTGTAGAGAGTTTTTTTTTCTCCACAATTTAGGGAAGTCCAAAGCTAGGTAGAATATGATAGTCATCAATTACTTCAGCTAAAAACTCAAGAGAAATTTCTTTATTCAGAATGAGTTTACAATGTGGGACTTGAATTATTGTTGTCACATGTACCGAGGTACAGTGGAAAGTGTTGCTTTGCGTGCTATACATGCAGATTGTACTATACAAAGGTGCATCAGGATAGCAGAACAGGGTGTACAATACAGTGGTTACAGCTGCAGAGAGAGATCAGCATTAATATTTGAGAGACCATTCAAAAGTCTGAT